CCAGGATTTGAATTTCCCATGCTTCATTTGCATAACCGCGTCATGACGTTCTGTCGAAAAACGCTATTTTGAAAGGGAAACTGCAGTCTAGACGCGGTTCTTTCAAAAAGAAAAGCCTTTTTTGAAAGATCCTGTACTCTTGCTACAGGTAGCTCCAGCCATGGAGCCGGTATGTAGGACTTCTTCCACCTCTGGATTCCATGCAGGAGCCTCACTTCTGGTCTCTCTCACTCTTCAGGCCTGAGGGACAACTTACCTCCCCACCCCCACGTGCTCCTTTTGAGTCAATTCCTGAACTTAGTGTGTCTGGTTCTGTCTCACATCACATGACTACTGGACTAACTGTCTTTCCCTGGGGAGGTGGGCTCAACCAGGCCCAGTTCTGCCCCACATCCCCAAGGGCCAGTTCATTCTATGATATTGAATGTAAATGTTTTCTCACTAAGCCCATAATCATGTTTTGGTATAAAACCACATGTATTGTCCCACATCTTCCAACCATTGCCCTAATTATAAAAGAAACAATAGAGTGACAACTGAAATTCAGAGCTCTCAGTTTCCATGACCAGGGTAGCAAACAGGGCATGACACACGCATGGTAGGTTAAGAAATAAGATCCAGTAGGTGGAGGGAGGATCAGTACTTACATTCAAAAGTTTTTGCACCTAGTGTTGGAAGATGTTAAGATCACCACCTACAAGGGAATGTGTGGGCATTAGCAACCTGAGGGCATGTCTACACAGCAGGGCTAAAGCCAAAATAAGCTATGCAATTTTTTGAGATGCATCAATTGCGTAGCTGAAGTTGAAATAACTTATTTTGGCTTTTAGTGCCGACTACACAGCAGAAAGTCTGAGAAAGAGCACTCTTCCTCCGACTTCCCTTACTCCTCGCACAATGAGGGTTACAGGAGTCGGAGTAAGAAGTCCTCCAGCTCGACATTATTTCGACATTATGTTGAAATAACTGTTTGTAGTGTAGATGCGGACTATGTTATTTCAGAATAACATCAGTTATTCCAAAATAACACTGCTGTATAGACATGGCCTGAGTGAGTGGGGAAACAGCAGGTTTTACAGCGCTCACCTGCAGGATAAAAAGGAAGCCAGATTACAGAATCATTCCAGCTGCTAGCCATGCAGGGTTGTCAGCAGGAGCTGTCAGTGAAAGGGGACTTTTACTCTAGCTCAGTGTGGAGTCCAGTCTCAGTGTGGGACTGATACCAGCTATTTTGACCTGTGTGGTGTACTGGAAAACTGTCCTAGATGTCTGACATACCCACTCGTGCATGCTGAAGCAGGCTGGGGATGTTCAGGATTGCACAAGAGCTGAGCACTACCAGACCCATCTGGAATACGGCATCATCTTGCTCTTTGAAAGAAAGACCACTTTGTTCATTGGAAGTGGTAAGCAAGTGGTGTGACAGCCCCTCCCATGCCTTATGAAAACTGGTTTATAAATATGAATATGCATAACTCGAAGATGCTTTAGCAAAAACACGGTCAGGGTAAAATATAATCAGGGGACAACCCTAAGGAGACTTCTGTGATTTCAACCCTTCACAATTAGCTCGAGACTTAGGGATTCAAAACCTTCCCTAGTGCTGTCTTGCATTTGGCTGAGTGAGAAAGAACAAGGGTGGAGATCAGAAAAAATAAAGTATCAGGCAGATCTGAGGACTCCAGCCTGGTAAGATGTGAAAGGAACTAGTGCTAGCAAAGAACTGTGGATAAGTTAATAAGGATCAGAGAGGGAAAAAGAGAGGAATCATAACCACAAACACTTATTAATAGAGCAGAATCCTTGCCAACATCTAACAGATCCAAGGGATACTATTTTTTAGAGTTGGGTAGACACGCCACAAAATCATGCACAAACTGTTTTTATTTCTTACCAGTCAAATCAATGCGTTCCTCCATACTCTTCTGACCTATTAGTTTGGGAATCACTGATTTTCTTATTTGGCCTCCACCTCTTCCTTTTTTTGGTACCTTGTGCTGCTCAGAATCTACGCTAAAGTTGAAAGACCCCTGCTGCAAACTAAGAGTACTTTCACTGACTTCAGCAATGGTAGACACGATGCTTGGATTTGTGTTACAATCCTGCACTTGGCGTGCCGAGTTGGACAGCTAGTTTGGCTGGCTGAGAGACAGCAGAGGTGCCTACGCCTGAACTGAAGGGCTGCTTTACTGACTCCAAATAGCAACAGGCATTGCCTACCTGCTAGAAGGGAACATACAGATTAATTTTAGAGACTGACATTCTGTCTACAATTAGCTTGGGTGAAATTTAGCACAAATTAAATTAATAACTGTAGTTAGAGCAGGATCTGCACAGTCCCACATGGCTGTCAGTGAACAGCACTTGATAGGACTTATTTCATTTACTTTGTCCTTCCCTTCTTGTTTTTAACTAACAAAAATATCTTGCTGTCCAGCCACAGTGACATGATTCCTACTTAGTCTGACTGTGCAGCTCCTACCAGCTCTGTTGTGCAGAGCCCAAGATTAACTTTCAGATTTAACAGGAAGGTCAATCTACGTCTCTTTCACCATCTGGAGCAGATATACCTATTGGAATCAGTACTTACATGTCTGCTAGAATCAGTGGCTAATTAGAGCAACAGGAGTCCAAATATCATTCAGTGTGCTCTCTTTACACCCACAGTGTTTTAGTTCATGCCTGATCTTGAATGTCATCCAGTCCAGGGGCAGAGAAGTAATTGGTGAAGAGCCAGAGATTCCTGGACTATATCGAGAAAAAAAGATACCAGCAAGTAATGCATGTGGTCCAATACCTAATGTGTAAGCAAAACAAGCGTTCCCTCTTTTTTCTCCTCTTCTTCCCAAATGTCAGCCCCTCCCTACTTTCCTTTCCTGGACTAATTCCTGATCATGCCCTGCCAAATACAGAAACCTTCCTGATTCTTGCTAATGATAAGTACCCAGATACGAT